TGTCCCGTATCTAGTCACTTATGTGTAGTTTATGGTTTTTATCTTCTGAAAATTGTTTGTTTGGGTGTATGCGTAAATGGGTGTGCTTATGTGTGTACTGTTCTCTTTTTTTTTATAAAATTCTATAATTTTGTCTAGGCGCTGAATTTCTTGCAAAAGTGAAGGAGTCAGTTGGTACTGAGGCTGCTGCTCAGAAGGATTTTGAGATTCCTCGGCCAGCATTCGATGCTCTCGCAACCGAATACGACACTCTGCTGGATGAGGTGGCCACATTCAAGGTAAACACACAGTTCATTCATTTGTCCTGTGTTGCAGAAATGGCGAGCAAGTGGAGTTCATTCGTTTGTTCGTGGAAACGGAAATATTACATCTCAAGAGAAGTGAGTGTGAACAAGACCTATGGTCTGAGCACTACAAAATTCATTCTTAGTTGTTCAAGAAATCAAGTCAACTGAGGGTATCCCGGTGATATAGTGCAAATTTCTCCGTCCGAACGGCTTTTTAAACTACTCATAATGAATTTACAGAAGTGGGAGTAAGCTGCCAAATTTATTTTTTGGAATGAAAGACGATGGGGGACAATGTGGGGGGAGCGGGGAGAGGAAGCGGGCGAAGAACAGGAGGAGAGAGGGGCAGGCGGAAATGTGTAGACAGAGAGGTGAGGGGAAATACTGACATTATTTATCTGCATACTTAAGGTAACTCATAGACGAAACCTTTTTTGAACTGTTTATCGGAAGCTAAACGGAAGTGGCCAGCACTGATTATTGGTTGAAAACGACAAAAATGAGTTGCCGATCAAAAAAACCGCATGTCTTTTGTGCCGATTGTGTGAAATGTTTGAGCCTGTATTGTTGGATGCCTGCATTTTCTTCTTTTAAAGCAGCTACGGCATTTTAGGATAAATATACGCGCGCGCTGGCAGAAGTGGAAAATGTTCGTCGTCGCGGACAGAAGCAGACAGAAGAAGCAAAAGTATTTGCAATTCAAGGATTTTGCAAAGATTTGCTTGAAGTTTGTTTTTAAGGAGTTCTCAAGGTTGCTTTGGTTTGCTTCAGCATTATTCAGGTGATGTGGTGAAAATTACAGCACTTGTTGCTTGCAGTATTTAAAACTGCATAAACATTTTATAGCCGGAGTGAAGAGATACTGCTTCCTTCGTCATTCATTTTGAGGTTATTGCTGTTTATCATGCTTCGCATCTCGGATCGGTATATATATGTAGATATTCTATATCCTTTGGAAAGAGACAGAGACAGATGTTGCTTTCTAGCACCGACTTTTCATGCGTTTTTTGCAGCTATGCAATGCAGAAAACGAATATTGACGAGAGGTTGTCTGTGTGTGCGCT